GGTGCTGGGGGATTGAACCGCGGTCCCTGTGCTTTGCTAAGCTTGTTCTAAGTAGGTGCTTTAGACCACTGAGCCATCTCTCCAGCCCCTCACTCTGTTTCTTGAGACAGGTCTGGCTATGTAGATTAGGCAGGCCTTGTCCTGTGTAGCCCACTCTAGCCTCAAACTTGAAGCCATTCTCTTGCCTGAGCTTCATAAAGTGTTGGAATTACAGGTATTGGCCACCCACTCCACCCTGCCAGGGGTCACTTACATGTACTTATTTAGTGGAGTTGTGTATTTTGCACATATGACAGGCTGAGACTAAACCATGATTTATTGGAATATAAAACCCAGTATAAGAATGTTACCATAAATAACTCACAAGGAAAATAGAATCAACTTTGTTTTCCAGACATGATTAGGAATGAAAAACTTAAAAACCTTAAAAAGTTTACTCAATTTTCAGTCTGATTACCAGGTAAGGTAATTTATTTAAAATTAGATTAAAATAATTTTTTCATGTACCTTTTCTTCTAGCTTTAACATTTTTGGTTAAATACGTTAATTTAGGAGGCAGGAATTAGCTCCAGCAGCATAAGCACCTGCCTGGCAAGCACAAGGTCCCAAGTTTGATCCCCAGTACCAAAAAAAAGTTAGTTCATGGAAAAAAAAAAAAAGGTTTTCTGGTTATTAAAAGTTAAAAAATTGCCAGGCCCGCCCCCAGGGCACACTGAGATGGCAATTGAGACTGGGTGTGGTGGCACATGCCTGTAATCCCAGCACTCAGGAGGCTGCAAACAGGAGGATCATTGTGAGTCTGATCTATGTAGTGAGGCCCTGTAGACTCTGTACCAAATACCAAAAGAAAAAAAAAAAAAAGTTAAAAACTTACATATGGTTATAATTTATTTCATTATTATTCCAATATAGTACATTTTCTCTTTTACCACTCTTGCATATCTTACGGTAGTTATCCAACTTACGACCTTATGCTATCTCCCGAGCCCCAAGAAAATGAATACAGAAATTATGGCTCCAGACAGCATGCAGATCCCTTCACCTGATTACCCAAAACAAAGGCAGAACTCGGGAAGCTTGGTCTTTTGGTTAAGACTAACCTCATGTTCTAGTCCCTGCAGGTATAAACTTTTAGGAAGGCAGGAGATGGAAAAGTGAGGACTTAGGACTTTACCACCCAGCCCAGACTGCTGTTCCTAATATCTAATTCAGGAGAAATGCATCTGGTCACAGCAGCTTTTTATTTCATCACAGAGCTTGCCTGTGGCTGTTTCTCTAATAGAGGAAAGAGTGAACGATACCTAGTACGGTGCTCCAAAATTCATATCCCCACAGGTACAGTGAGCTGACCAACTAAAATCTCAATCTACATTTTGTCCGCTTTGCCAGGAAGGAATTACAAAGGGAGATGATGTTACAGAAGTTGAGTGAGGTAACAATTAGTAAGACTTGAGTGATAAAATGATAAAGGAAGCCTACAGCGTAAACAACTAGGCAAGAAAACATTCCAGGTAGTGGAAAGAGGCAAGCGAGTCAATCAAAATACATATGCAACACAGGCCTGAAAATAGGAAAAAGTAATGAAAAGAAAGTAGAAGTGGCCAAAACGTAGGTGGGGAACAATCAGAGAATATAGACAGAAGAGAGGAAGATGAAACTGAGAAAGGAGGGGCAGAGACAAGGAAAAAACATCTGAGCAGTAGTACCATTTGCTCAAAGGGGAAAGTGACTACAGAATGAGGGGGGAAAAATCAAAGATTAAACTGAAACAGAAGTAAGATTTTTAGAGTTCTTTTAAGGAGGTAGATAAAACATGCTTTCAGAAATGAATTGTTATTAAAAAGTATTTCAGATATATAAAAACCAGAGAGCTACAACCCATCATCCATTTTCAAGAATGCCTATGGAAAAAACAAAAAAATAAAAAACTGGGGGCCAGGGAGATGGCTCAGTAGAATAAGTGCTTCCCTGGCAAGTGCAAGGGCCTGAGTTCAATCCCTGATTCCGCCCAAAAAAAAAAAAAAAGAATGCCTATGATTTCCTCTACTTTGGAACCTGTGGCAGAAGGATGGAAGTTAAAGCTTAGTGAGAGTCTCAAATCTTTTATTATTTATTACTTTCTTTTTTGAGACAGGTCTATGTTCATGCTGCCATCTACCTGTCTCAGCCTCCCAAGTGCCAGAATTACAGGTGTGCACCACTACGCCTAGCTCAAAATAATTTTAGAAGAGATGGGATATGTAGACACCTGGCGTAAGTGAGGTTGTAGGTTGAATCACCAGTACCTTAAAAAAAAAAAAAAAAATTTAAAACATTATAAACTCAGTTGAAGGCCCTCCGAATCCCAGAAGCTCTCTTAAACTTGAGGCTCACCACTTTTGTGCATTTTTAATTTTTTTTTTTAATCTTTCATTTTGTACAGGATCTTGCTACGCAGCTAAAATTCCTAGTGATCCCCATTTTGTTGCTTCCCCAGTGCTGTGATTACAGGCATATGCCACTCTTCCCAGTTTCCGTGGCCACCATGGTACACCAGGATTCTAGAGGTGGCACAGCATGCAGGTACTGGGCATCGAACCTGGGTCCTTGCATTTGCCAGACAGGCGCTTAGACCAATGACCTATCTCCTCAGCCCCAACTTCTGTGCATTTTCACAGGGCAATTTCTATATACTTCTGAACACAGCAATGACAAAACTATTAATTTGTGGAACTTGAATATTCTTCTGGGACTACATGACAAATTTATCCATTCTTCTAAACAGACAAGACTGGGTGTTTAACAAAAAGACCCAAATATGTACAACATCTCAAATGAGAGACATTCCTTTTTTACTCATGTAACAATCTCAAGAGATGTTGCTGGCTGACAAGTGGTTTTCCTTAGGGAGTACACCACTTGCCGTTTCATGCTCTCCCAGGTCCTAGACATTATCTGTGTCTAGAAGGGAAAAGGGAAAAGCAAGCAGAATTACACTCTCTCTCTTCAAAGTGTTAGCAAGGCGGCAAGCATTACTCCTCATCCCATTTCAGGGCGGAAAAAGGAACAAGTGGGAAATGTACTCTAGCCTAAAAGCCTAGAACTTCAGAAGATGAGAGAACGTTGAGGACAGGTAATGGTCTCTGATACACATTCCTAGTACCTCTCTAATGAATACTGTATTGCAGTAATTATTTTTGTTCTTTCACCTTGGTACAACTAGAAAGAGTTCCTGTGCACATATCTAGAACAGTCTTAGGGTGTATCTTCAACTTCACTAAATATGGCCAAATTATTTTCAAATTAGGTATATCAATTTATAATCCAAACCATGCATGAAAATTTGCATAACTCAACCACTCAAGATCACCAAATCAGTTATGTTATTCCAAATGAGTAGCATAATTAGGGTGAGCCCCACTACTGCCTGGCCATGGGAAGGGAAAAGAATGGCTGGAAGGGCCCTGGATGAGACATACAGGTTTCCTGTACCAATTCATGTTAGCCACAAATTATTCATTTCAACCAGAGTTTAGGGGGACAAAGAACCTCTGAGATGGCTGCATTTGGGGCTTGTTTCAAACTCATCTTCATCTCCAGCCACTGTCATACAGGGAGTCAGCTGGCGGATCAGAATCAAAGAACTGGAAACAACGGTCTAAGTGAGAGTCATTTATTTCGTCACTGCCAAACATACCCCAAACTCCTACTCACCAGAAAGTTACATATTTTCTCCATTTCTCCTCCCTGACAACCTTCATCTGCTGAAATGTCTTTAAGGGCACAACTGCCAATGAAGATGCAGCGTGTGTACACTTTCCTTCACTTCCTACCTGTTCCGGCAGTCTCTAATACAGGTTTGAATGTGGTCTTCACAAAAGCCCACACGTTAAAGCTATTCAGAGGAGCAGAGATAATATAGGGGCAAAAAGTGGCCCTGGCCTTTCAGATTTGGGGGGGGGAGTGTTTGCCTATAGCAAGGTTAATTTTTAAGTGCTATATGCCACACAATCGGTAAGAACATTTAAGACCAATATTTACGCAAAAAAAAGAACTTAGAAACATGACAAGGCTGCTTTAAACACTGCTCCAGAAAACACTGCCCTCCAGGAAGGAGCCCAGGAAGCATCCCAGGAGGCAGGCGGCAGAGGAAGGTGCCTTCTTTCCAGCTCCAGACACTCCCAGCTGGTACCAAAATCTCAGACTATAGAGGACAGAACTCACAGAACTCCATATATAAAAGAGGACAGAGGACAATATTCTCAGAAAATTCAGAGACAGAGGTAAGGTACAGGACTGGTAAGGACTTGGCAAGGTGAGGTAAAGTCCAGGGAGAAGGAAGGTGCGCCTTGGATTCCCATCTTACTGGCACTGCCAAGTATACCAAGGCGCTGTGTCCAAACACCAGGGGCACAGGACATTCACAACCTTTAAAACCAAGGGAGCAAAAGCAGACTTTAGGAGGGCACTGGCCACAGCAACACATGAGGCTTTGGGTCCCAGGAAAGATGGGCTGTTTTTTTATTACTGCTTCTATTCTTTTCTTCCTAGTCATTTTAATACTTGAGACACTACTCCTCAGACTGCTTTTCATGCCCATGGATTTAGTTAATCACTGCTACTTGGTACAGACAAAGCACCTCCCAAGTTAACCAATGTAAGGAGGTTCTAGCTTTTCCATGCTAAGTCTTTTTTTCTTTTTCAATCATATTGAGGACAAGCAGCTTCTACAAAGTTTTGCTTCCCAAGGATTTGGGGTAACCCTATTAAGTAATCAACAACAGTTCTAGCTTCAAGGCTGCTTGTATTACAAATACAAAATGATAAACCAATAATTTTTTTTAAAAAGTAGTTTGAAGTTATTTTATAAGTTACACAATGGAGTGGCTACTAAATCAATGGAGTTTCCAAGAACATTTGAACCTCAGGATGGAAAGGACAAGTAAACACCATTCTTAGTCTTGTACAGGCCAAGAGGGGCCTACAGTGGGCCTTAAGAGGGATCTCTTTGGGCAAGAGAAGAAAAAAACAGGAGGACTCCCATGGAAAATAGTAGAAAATCCTGCTACAAGGGGTCTGGGGAAGGAATGAGAGTGAATAAATAGGGAAGACAATGAAATTTACACAGGAGGAAGGAGCTGAGAAAGTCACAGCCCGGTGCCTCAGGCCTCCCAGCACAGGTCCCCTGACAACAGCACTCCCAGGAGTGCTTTCATGGACTGCCTATTTCCTTCCTCGTTTATGATTCGTCTTTGGGGGCTTTGTTTTCTGGAACTGAGCTGCAACAGGTTCCTGCTCTGATTCCTTACAGGAGGTCCACATGACCAGTTCCTCATTATTCCTCCTCTGATCCTTCCCTACTCTAACGCTCAGTTGGGTCTCAGGAAGCTCAATGCCAGGCTGCTGCAGCCTTCTTAGTGACCTTCTGCTCCTGTGCTCCTGTCTGCGCGTTTCTTCCTCTTGCTGTTTCTGCTTTATCTTCATCAGCTTTTCAAAGCTTTTTGTTGTTGTTGGGTTTACAACAAACCAATCCTAGAGGGGCAAGATAGAAAAACACCATCCAGTCAGAAATACACTGAAGCCTATAAAGGGTGTAAGAGGTTGGCTCTGCTTCTAGACACATAAGCATAGGTCAAATGTAAGCATAGGTCAAATGTTAACCTCTTTGAAAAAGAAGGAGTAGGAAAAAAAATCCAATTACAATCTATTGTTGCAGAAAGAGAAAATGAAAGGAACAGGAAAGAAGATAGCAAATGAAAATGAAAGAAAAAGGAAAGGAAAGCAAAAAACAAAGGAAAGAGAAAAGAGCAAACAAATGAACAAACTTAAATCTAATCAAGTGCTATCAACAATGTTCCAGATGTGACTATTAATCTGCAGGAAACAGGATAGAGGAACACTAGCAATCAGCAACATTCAGGATGTGGGTGAATGCATGTGATGAATTAGCTTTAAAAAAACAATAATGAAAAAAACAAAAGAAAGGAAAGCTTAGACCTGCTGGCCACAATAAGCTAGCTACCTGCCACATGTGGTCAGTCTAGACTCAGATATACTTCCTGAAAAAACACACCAACATTTAAAGACTTGGTATAAAAAATATTAAAAACTCATTAATAATTTATTAATTAACACAATGATACTGTTTTAGATTTGTTAGGCTATATAAATCTGTCTCACAGTGCCTGCCAGGCAAGCACAAGGTCCTGTGTTCAATTTCCAGTAAGAAAAATAAATTTGTTTATACCTTTT